AAAATTTTTAATCAGGCTTTACAGAAATCCTTTATAGGTAAGCTTAAGTAATTCGTAAAATATGATTTTTAATAAATATGAATGTGATAAAAATTGAAAATTGTTATGCATTTATAAGGCTATGAATGAAAATTTGTAATAAATTAATCATATAGTTTTTTAAATAAAATTAAATTTATTATATTCACCAAAAAAAAAAAAATGCTTATTTCTGTCTAAAGAATTGTTATTATTTTTCACAATTATTGTGTTAAGAATTAATTATACTTTCTGTGTTTACTATATATTTTTAATTCATTACTTTCAATTGTGTAGCAATCTTGTTTACGTTTACAATTGGCATTATTCCAATGATGTTTGTTAAATATTACAATTTAAAGCCATAGCAACAATTTCATATTACAGATTTACTACATAAAAATTGTAATCGAATAAAAATAAAGAAATAAATATTTGAATGAAAACGAAACTATACAAAGAGAAAAATTATTCGGATTAAATAAAAGAGTGCAGAAGAACAAAAAATAAATACTAGAAAACCATTCTTACTAAAACATTAAAATATATATTTATAAATAAAAAGTATAAATATGTAGCAATATAAATTTTCAATACAACCCAGTGCGATTTATCTTTAAATGGTAAACGTTATTCTTATATCTAAACATTTTATGTATATTAAATAAAGCATTATAGGCATATGATAAAGTTTATAAGTATATAACAAGTAATATGAAAGTGATAATGTAATATAAAATACGTTATGTACTATAATATAAAAGTAATTCGTTATTCTAAAAAGTATAATGTTATAAGTTTGATGTATTGATAAGTGTGATGTTATGTTTAAGTTTGATTAAGCAGAATTATTTTAATGTAGACCAATTAAAGATATTTTAATTTCCAATGTGTTATTTTTGATGAGTTACGAAACAATTGACAAACCAATCAACAAATAATATGTTCTGATGTTAATTATCATTAAAATTCTAGGAATTTCCTTCCATTGGTCTTATCGTAAATTACATTGTTTCTAACTGTAGCATATCGTCGAGACTAAGAACTTCATAAAAGAAATGTTCCATATAAAAAGATTTCAAAAGTAATAATATTGCTTTTAATAATTCGAATGAAAACTCATTTTGTTGGCTGTTGAAACGTTTTTTTCTTTTGATGAAATATATCGATCCTATATTTCTACTCCATCTAAAAACATAATGCTTTTAGGATATGACAAAGAAAAGGTCCATTCTATTATTTTTTTGTACAAATAAAATTCAATTAAAATCGTTGTTTAAATGAAGAGAAATGCCATAATATACGAAGAAAGATGACTGCAGTGATCGATCGAGCAATGTAATGTTCATTTTTTTTAAACTGAACCTAAAAATTATCCACGCAATAGGACAGTGTATTCTGATGATAAAATAACTATCCAAATGCCCTATGCATTTCGATTTTTTTTATTTTTTGGTTTTGATTTTTTAATTTTAAGAGTATTTTAAAATAGTACAGCAGAGCGTCGTTTATCCGAATCAATTGGGGACTGGGGTTGTTCGGATAACTTATTTTTCGGATAACCGATTATGTACGAAAAAATATATTAATTTATCCCGTGTTGAAAATTTTCTCCGTTGCGTGTCGCTTCGCGTTAAATTTTCGTCGATGTTAAGCCTAACGAAGACTATTGTATCGTTAAAAATTATTTTTTTATTTTGTACAAACGAAATAAATATATTGAAAAATATAAAAACAATAAAAAAAATTATACTTCAGAAGTTAATTTAGTATCAAAAACGTAAAATATTTGAGTAGCCGAAGACATAGCCAAAGACTGAAGCGCAACAGCACTGGCGAAAATTTAAATTTGTCGACTGGAATTCCTTCGGATAACCGACCTTCCGATAAACGACGCTCTACTGTATTGTGGTGTATATTGTATAATTATGTTAAATTCATTTTATTTTAATTTTATGAAAGAATAGATTTAGATTCTAATAAAATCATTAAAAAAAACACAAAACGAAGTTTCAGATCAAAGCACAAATTTTCTCAGAAGTTTATAAGATCTCTAGTTTTTTAATTTTTTGAAATATTGTTAATATTTATTTAAATCCGAAAAACTTAACAGTAGAATGATGAGTTTGAATAATGAAAATCTCAAAATATAGTAACTTTTAGATTAAATGATGAATTTCTACCGATATTTTAATAATTATTATGGAATCTACGGAATTTATTCCATATAAAAAGTTTTGTAATTATATTCATAACTATGTGTTGTAATAGAAACAATATCTAACTTTAAATATTGCTTCTACTACATATTACTTTTATACTGTATATTACTTCTTTTGAATATTGTTTCTATCCCATTGTATGGAATTATATTTTTTATAAAACAAGAAGTGAATATATTTTAAATATAAAATCGTTACATTTTCTTATGGTTTTTCTTAAGTATATAATATATATTCATTTACTTCAAAAATAGTTTTAATTTTATCAATTTAATACAAATTGAGAAGAATGATTTTTATGAAAGCTTTTGTCAAAATTACTAGTTATTTGTTTTAAAAAATTTTTTGTCTTAATTTCTAAGTCAATATTCAGAAAACATTTTTACGGGCATTTTTTATTTTTTTGACAGAAATTTGGTACGATCCAGATTATTTAAAAAAATATTTTATAGTTCTATTATCTAATGGCAACGTAGCGTGAGACTTGGGCAGATCATTTTCTCTGTTTTATATCATATTTTATTATTTTTGAAATTTTTTTCTCAGCCTACAAAATTTTTCTTGCGTCCCTAGTGTGCATACCATTGTTAAACGTGCTGCATACATGCTTATTTAGAAAAAAAATACAGTAATTACTAAAAATTTCATAATAACGATTAGTAGGTTTTTTAAAAATATATTTTGTTAATATTACATCAAAACTTTCTTCTTTACCGTACAGATTTTAAGACATTTCTGCAATCGACGGATCATTAGAACATTAATTTATTTCTGTTAAGCCAAAATTCCATACTTAATTAAAATAAAACTTATCGTTTACTTTTAAAATATTTTGATAAAATAAAATTCGAATAAAATGAATTTCGTAAAACAAAAATATTTATTTATTTTTCTAATTAAATATGTATTTTTAACATTCTGGCATTATGAACAAGTGCATCTATCCCATATAAAATTCAATCAGATTTCTGAATAAAAACTTAAAATTTCTAATTTATCAGCAATTTAAATGGCGATAAAATTATAATTATAACATATTCTGTATTTCATAAATTTTGTCACAATTCAGCAGTTTTATTTTCATTTAATTGGAACTTGTACTGACTGAGTAAGTATAACTTATGTTAGCTGAGTAAATATACGTATATACTTACGAAAATGCGTTCTAGTTTATTGATATTTAGGCTAAAGCTTTAAATTTAAAATTAGAATATAATCATAAATTTAAATAAAGCCAAGTACAGATTCTTCATTTTTAGATAATTAAAATAAAATCTTGAAATAAAATATAAAAAATATATGAATATCTTTAATGGATTATAACAAGCTAGAAACCATTTCATATAAAATTTATGTAATATAATTACATTCAGAACCATATACTGTAACAGAAATAATATCTAATTCAAAATAATGCTTCTATCAAGTTGTATAGAAATATAAATAGAATTAATAATATAGTTATGAATGATAACAAGATTCTTTGTTTAACAAAAAAAAAAAAAAAAAAACGNGGGTAGTCCACCACTCTAACAAGCATTCACTAGTGATCCTCCACACTCTAACACTAAGGGTATCAGTTCTCAAACAGAACCAATATTCATTGCTTTTTACATACAATGTTTTTAGATAATAAATTGTGATCAATCCTCCTGTCAGATGTAAGGTTATTTCCATTTTTCAGTTACAATAACCAGAAATAAACAGAATCTAGTCATAAGTCAGGGAACAAAGAAATACTCCACCAAAAAGTTTAAATGAAAGATGTCATGGCATTTAAAGTAGGATCTTTGTTGATGTGGATACATTTTGTCCAGATCAACAAAAATTCTGCAGATCAGCTTCCTTGTCATCTTCTGGGACCATTCATTAACTATATTTACAGTTCAAGGGAGGGAGAGGATTGAAAAAATATACATCACTGTACATGATAGAAAAGGTGAAGATCAAGGAATCATCTATGTGGACTTTTCTTATTAGTGCCGCACGAATTTGTTCTTAAAGCCTGCTTACTACTTATGTGAATAAACTATCAATTAGGAAATATTTTTTGAAACATTTCTTCAATATCAAGGTATATGAAATATTGTATGTGTAATTAAACAGGAAAGAGTTTACCAAAAGTACATAATTGTACACATGGAGGGTCAAAAATTGTACATGTAATTAATGGATGGTTCCAGTAGTTTGTCAAGAAACATTTATATTTCTGAAGATGAAAATGTATAATGGTGCAAAAATCAATCAAAGGAATAAATTTTATGAAAAATTTAGATTTAAGAAAATCCAATTAATGCGTCCGTTAGAAACAAAGAAAAAATTCAGTTGCAAACAATCAGTTATCACTTTCAATTTGTCCAATATATAGGCCTATATAAATTCTATAAATAAGAAATGTTAATCTGTATGCATATATTATTTTAAAAATTTAGATTTAAGAAATCCCAATTAATGCGTCCGTTAGAAACAAAGAAAAAATTCAGTTGCAAACAATCAGTTATCACTTTCAATTTGTCCAATAAACGCCATAATTACAAACTATTCGCTATCGTCTACTACACGTGTATGTGTACGTCACGACCACGTGATATTACACGATGCTCAGTCAACCGCAAACTTAGTAGAAAAGAGTTTGTAAAACGCGTACCGTAAAACTTAATTGGGTTTGTTGATATATTAAGATTTAAAAGAAAGAAAAAAGAAGCAGATTAAATTTATAGAGAGAAAAGAATATATTTAAACGTAAGTAAAACTAATTTTATATTACTTTTTTTATTATTTTTACCACTCTGTGTGTTGGCCTACTTTCAAGGACGAACTGACTTATTGCACAGGTGATATCATATCCCAACACCTGTTCATCTTTATGCTCGTCAAATGCTCATTGCTCATATTTTTCCACATTTTATTCATTCCATCAAATACGAAAACTTGTAAAAAATCTCAGGAAACAAATCCAATCTTGAAACGACGAATGATGAGCTCTGTCAGAATGAGACAGGTGCACAGGTGGTTCCAGCACCTTTAAACACCGTGAAACAGGTGAAAATCACTACTTAGAAAGCACCTGCACAACCAGTTCGTTTTTCGTTTCCGCAGTATCCACAGCGAATCTCCAGAAAGTTAAAAAGAAATTTCATTGTAAAAATAATTTCAATGAAAAATCATCTATGTAGTAAAATAGATTAGTTAGAAAATCAAAGTTAGATCATTTTCTTTAAGTACAAGTATATCGCCCGCAGCGAGAAGAAGATCTGACAGAAGTTTAAATGAATGACGTCACAAGGTTGACGGGGAATTTTGAAGATTTTGCATAATTCTTAGTAAGAATTTACATATATTTCTTTTTATCGGTTATCTGATTAAGTTTGAATTATTATTAAAGCAAATTTAAGTATATTTTTATTACAGGTTGATCCAAGAAAAACTTATTTGTCATTTTATAATTAAGCATATGTCATTCCGTTGTAGTTTTCCCTTTCGATCCCGTTTAACAGTATTATTTGCAGGTTTAAAACAGTTTAAAACAACGAAAAACAAGAGCTGCGATGTTAGAAATTATCTCTTAAAATTATTAATAAATTTAGAGTAAGAAATTATAAACTGTTTTAAAACGTTAATCATAGTCGCATTTTGTTATTTTTTTTTAATTAGCACGAAGATCGATTATGGCTGCAATAAAAAACAGGACGACGTATCACTTTTAATTTCGTCCGCATTTTGGTTGATGGGGAGTTTCCTTTCTTCCTCACCCAGACCCTTTGGTTAGAATATATTGCCAGGAAGTTGACACGTTCCAAAGGATGATTCACAAAATTAATGTCAACTTGGGTGGTACTTAGAGAAGAGAGCGAAACTCAAGATACAAAAGGATAAATAAAAAAAAAAAGACTGTGGAAGAATTAACCATTAATCAGTCATATGAACTTTTGCCATTAATCAGTTAAGTGAACTCAGCAATCATTTAAACGACTATTTGATCGCGACAAATTGTATATTGTAAATATTGACTCATTGGCTAATGTTGAAATTATAAAAATAACCGTATCATAAATTTAAAAATATTATTTATTTATTTATAGCAACGTTTATTAACTTTTTCTGAATTTATTTATTTCTTTTTAATTTAAACATGTTGTCGACAGGATTGAAACCAAGTTGAATATGAAGAGTTTTGATATAAAACTACATACAAGATTATCATCGAAAAATAAGAAGCAGGATCAATACATCAATTACTCCAGAATAAAATGCGTATTTCCATTATGATCTTATGTTTTTAACGAAATGATCTTTGGATGATAAAGAACATGGATCCGCATATTGACTTGGAATATATTGTTGATAATAAAGATTACACGCAAAAGTTGGCTAGTGGTAAGTATATTAGTTTATATTTTTTGCACAATTTTCATAGTTAAATAAATTTAACCGCGAAAGGATGTAAAAATGAATTTCCTCTAGCCTTTAACGGTAATTTTGCTTTTGTTGAGCGTGTAATTTACAGCCATCTTATAATTTATTTTAATGTCGAAATTTATATATTTGTTCAGAATTATTTAATCCATCCTTATTACTAGATTCAATTATCTAAAAATTTAATTAAAACTAATAATTGTTGTTAAAATAATTGTTATAAAATTTTAGATTTTTATATTTAAAATTTATGATTTATGGATAAAGGAAGTAAAATGTTACGTCAGAGAGAAAAGGCGGTATATGCTTAAGTTTAATTCTTTAAAAAAATTTACTGTTTTCGCATCAAAGAAAACAAAAGAATTTTTTTTGTGTTAAATCTGACAGATTTCCAACCCGTTGCAAACATCTTCATCGCTTCCACAAAATAGAAGGATAATTACAGTTCCAACTCCTATCTGACCCTGATTTCTAACTGCGTTTTATTGCATAAGCGTTTCCCTTAATAGGTTGCATATAAATGCGCCACCCATATGACAACGCATTCTAACACTCCATGAAAATGTCTCATTTTGCAAAAGCTTAATTGCTGATATCCCTTTCAACGCTACAGCTTCAATTACACGGTATTTAACAGAATGCTATTCTTTAATAAAGAACATTTTTCTTATTTTTTTATCGTTTAAAATTCGAAAATTTCAGATGAGTCATCTTAAAAATATTCCAAATAATTTTTTACTTAGAAATTATTTAATATTTATATAACTTTTATATAACTTGTTTCTTGATTAAACACCCTAGATGCAGTATGCTAAACGAATAAGGACAGCTTTTCGTCATGAGTTTTCTTAGTAAATTATTTCGAAACAACTCTTGAGCAATGGAAGACAAGGCACAGACGACATTTAGTCCATCAAAAACTAGTTTTTATCCAATACCGAAGATATTTTATTATTGATTTAAAAATTATCTAAAAGTTTCTGCTTTAACTACAGAGATTAAATTCTTGTACAGTACACGAACAGAATATCAGCATCCAATTCTACAGACTTAAATTCTTATCTGTCATTCGCGTATCCGAAATTACGCCCGAGATTTCTCGGAATTCCTTAATATCTACAGTAACTTCGATCCGATGGAATTCCTGAACGCTTGATAGTTGAAACATAAATTCCAGAATGTAATTAGATAAAGAACTTTAAAATTAAATTTGATGGTTTGCTATACAGCTCAATAATTTAGCCGCCGAGTTAGGAGAGAACAAATTGAGAAACGGCCCATAATAGGAGAAAAGTAGCGGATACCATTTACATGTATTGTCTCGGGATAACCTACATATCCTTTATACAACGGGGACAATTTCACTCCCTAACGCTCCGTCACCCTGGCGCCTCTGTTGGCACACTGACCATCACCCAGTAACGTGACCCAAATATGATCCCAGGTTTAGCTATTGGTGACCAATATCGAACATTTGTTAATGTTTAATGTGTTTCGCGATTTGAAATAAAATTCTATAATGCGAATTGAGTTCTTGTATCAGAAATTTATTATATATGGCTGTTTTATATAGTTAAATCGTAATTGAAATCAATTTTTTCCCCAGATTGGTGTTAAAATACGTGAAATATAACTTTCATATTTTAGATATTTCTTCTAATACCCTTCTATTTGGAATTTTTTCGTAGTCGTTAGCTTTAAAATTTCAAGAAACTTTTAATTTTAATATTTTTAGGAAGTAAATCGATAGTAAAATTAATTAATATAACAAATTCTTTCTATGATAATAAATATAAAAGCCTATTTCAAAGAAAAGTTTTATTCGTAGTAACAAAATTATTTCCATAAATTTCTTATTCAAAAATATATTTCTTCGTTTCGGATATGTCAAACCCGTTTTTTATAATCCAGAAATAAAAACTTAAATGTCTGTTGATTGAAAGCATTACAGTGTGGTATAATAAGGCGTATTAAATTATATTTTATTATATATTAACTGTGACATTTTATATAGGGATTATAAATTATATATTTACTTAAATTTATTATTTATAAGATATAATTTACACTTAAGTCGTGTAATAAAATGAAAGAGAAACTAACTTAAATTTAGCATGACATAAAAACAAATGAATTTTTCAACGATAGTAATTTGCTATTAAACATTGAAATTATAATTCTATTACCAACAAATAAGTTAATAAACTTCTAAAATACAAAGTTTTATTATTTATTTATCAATATTCGTTTATGATGCTATTTTTATATTATTTTAACTGTCATATCAAATACTATTATTAAACAATTTATGTTAAAAATGATTAAAAATATTATATAATAATTCTTAATTTCGAATATGCCGAACAGTTTCTGTGTATACAATCTAACGTAGGCTAGAAAAATATATAATTGTTATATATATAATCTAAACAGGGCTAAGCCAGTTGCGATAACAGTTTGTCTATGCTGTATATAGTAATCGAATGTCTCCCGCAAGTAGTACTTTTACCTCAATTTATTAGCAGTTATTTACTTTCTAAGCACGCAAACTGATGTTTATGCAAAAGTTAAAAAGCTCAAGACAGTAGCCATATTCGGCAATGGGGGAGTTGTCAATCTGGTCACGTGAAAAGGAAAGGACGAGTGAAGGTTGCGAAATTTCGAATATCGATAAAAAATCAATTAAAAATACTTTAATAGATTATTTATTATAAAACGAAATTAATAATTGACTGAATACTGTATAATCAAATATTTATATGTAATTAATTTATGATAAATAGATAAGGGTATAATTCTATTGAATAGTATATAAAAAGGTAATTTTTTCTATCATTTAGATGAGGTATTTTGTGATATAATAATAACAGATTGCCATCATAAAAATAGTAAAAGTCGGAATATATATAATAATTTTTCATAAAGATGCCATTGACCTTCGTTTTGCCATCCTCGGGGCGTCCGTCACAAGGTAGTCAGTAGGTGTCACTTGTCGATGATAAATCATAAACATTACTACCCACTATTTCCAATGTGTCTAGCTTTACTAAACTGTTACTCATGTGCAGATATAACTTTTCAAGATAATTTTTTACTGAATTTCTACGTAATTTTCATAATGGGTCGCTTAAGCGGAAACACGTTACGGGGAGCCAATCAAAATGCATATATATCGTTTTTAATGAATAAAAAATTACAGGATGATGAGATATGACATAGTAGAAAGGAATGCTGGAAAGATACGGAATGCCTATTATGTTATTATGTTATTAAAAATACTCTATTATGTTATTAAAAAATTTTTGATATAATCAATTTCATCTTTAGATAAGATATGCTCTTTAATGAGAGCAGCACAGGGTTTATTAATGATGACTCTTATCAAAAATTCTTTTATGTTTGCTCTTTCTTTAATAATTTGTTCAAGATTTACGTTAAAATTATTCTAGATATATGTATTTTTTTAAAAGAAATTATCTAAACAATGCTAAAAAAGAGCTAGCGTAGGCGATCATTTTTGATCCTGAGAGTCACTTGAAACAAGAGATGGCTTTAAAAACTTATTTATGTAGGCCTACAATGAAAATACAAAGTTTAAAGTTGAAGATTACTTTCTCTAAATAAAAGTTTATGTTATGGATGCTAAATTTGTAAACAATATAAAGGAAAATTGTTATATTCCTTATTTTGTTTCATAATTTTCAAAACAAAATAAATAAAATATATAATTAACTTCTATCTCACGGAAAGGTCGTCCTGGCTTCCTTAATATTTAAAAATTCAATTTGAATGATTATTGGTAGGTGATAGGTTAATAGGAGAATTTCAGAATACATGAAATTTTAATTGATTTTATTACTTTTATTTTTGAATTATGGATTTAGGCCAAACTAATCCATAAACTATTTTGAAAATATTTAATAATATTTTATTTCATTTGATTTTAGATTTTTATTTTATGTTTTTTCCATTTAGGACCCATCCGCATTTTTCGTGCATTAATATAGTAGGGTAATTAAATTGATGGACATTATATTTATGAAAACATATAAAAAATCATTAAATATTGATCCTGGTGTTTAATGTTTAAAATAAAAAAAAAGAAATTAGAGAAACAGATACTATACTTCGTTTTTATAAATAAAACTAATTAAGATGTATTTCTTAAATTACAATAATACTGTATTTAAATATTATTATAACAAATAACCTAAACTCAGTAGTAAAGTTATTAAAATTCAATAACGAATATTTCGTAATATTCTCTAACATAAATTTTCAACCTATTCATAAATTATTTCGGCATCTCTATTGGTTCAAAAATCTGAAATTAATTCGCCAAGCTTATCATAATTACGATAAAAATAAATGATTTTAACATTTTCGACCTAATTGATTGCTTGAAAATCGTCGTTAAGCGAGCTGTTGTAAGAGGCTGTGTTATAACTTTTACTTTAAATAAAATTAAAATAACATAACGATTGTTTTATTTTTGGTAATGGCTACGAAATGTGTTAAACAAGCAAATAAAACAATAATTCTTATCATTGGAATAATTTTTGATATTTAACTAGAGTAGAGAAACAGTATTTATCAAAATTTCAGTGTTGTAAATATAGTAGGCCAGAGAAATTATTCATTATTATTAAAGCATCCAAATAAAGCCTTTGAATTAAATTTACAAAAAGTTACATAGAAGACTCTGGTAATTTATTAAACGATTATAACTGTCAAGTTCTCATTTCGTTTTAACTTGTTTATTATACAGATGATCCCATACGAATTAATTAAAAGAAAAAAAATAATGGTCAATATCCGTTTAGTTTAAAGGATAAATTAAGACAGCATCGCATTTATAAAATTTGAAAAAAAATATCAAATGTCAGAAAAATAAATTCTGGGAAATGTTTAAAATTCTATGTAAGAATTTGCAAGTTCGTGAATGTTTCATTAAATAGGAAGAGCCCGTTTTATGTTTTGACGTCATCCGATCACGTGCTTACTTTCTCGTCATCTAAACAAACTGCATTCTCTGTCCCTATGAATCACACATGGTCAACAGATGGTGCGGGTCAGGGTCGAACGTCGTCTGGGAAAGTCATCCCTACGACCTCCTCACAAAGTTATCTTTCAGTTCGCTTTTTCTCATTTTGGCGGCTTCTTTTTAAAAATGACAGCTGATCATTGACCGGATAGTTTTATGGTAAGATTATTCGTTATTTTTAATAGTTATTGAACTTTGGCATCAGGAAATTAAGTAAGTTATAATATTGTAATAGAACATTTCTTTTCATTCCATGCAGAAAATTATAGACAGTAAGTATCTATAGCGTTTTCTATCAATATCACAATTTTTGTTACTCAATTTAAAATATAACAGCTGAATTTACTAATGTGGCTGATTAAAATAAGGGGGAGAAAAAGCAATATTCTTTCAAAAATAAAATATTGCACGATTTTAGTTGGGTGATAATATATACAAACGTGAACAGTTTATTTCGGTTATAGCTGTTTAAAAATGTAAATAATATCTAATTATTTTTGTAATTTAATATTTATTATGTTTATAGCGTTAGATACAAATAAAACAAAAGTCAAGAAGCAGATTTTCGAGTTATTGTCGGCGCTAAGTGTTTATAATTCTGATGGCTTCCAAAGAGTTTTAGAAACTTTAGAACATTATAAGGTAAATTGTTTAATTTTATATCGAGAGTTGATATTTTAAATTAATTTTTAAACTATTTTAAACTTTTTTTCTTTTAGAACAATAAAAATCAAAGGTATAGGTTCAAATTTTTAGTGGACGAATTAAGAGAAGCTAAAGATGCAGATTATCAAACGGCTCTCATGGCACTCGTTAATTGCATCATCATCTCTTCGTCGGCGCTCAAAGACCGAATCAAATACAGAAATGAATTTATTGGTCAATAATTTAATAAGAAAATTTGAATATTCTGATAAATAGATTAAAACAATTTTAAATTTATTTGTTACTTTTTATAGGTCTTAAAATTTTGGATGTCATCCGACAACTGAGGTAAGAACACGATTTAACACTATTTAAAAAATGTATTTAAATATTTTTTCTCGTTTCAAACTTAAAAAGATACGTCTTTTGCTAGGAAAGAATGTCCTGACAACTCTGATTCTGATTTAACGGTGCAATTGGATGTATTTGATGAGCAAAGATACACTGACGAAGGTCAAATTACCGGTCCTGATGGGGTGGATTTGAACAGCCATTTAGACGTATTTTATGCCATATTAAGACAGGTTAACCTTTTATTTTATATTTCACATATATTTACAAAGACTTGATAACAATCATAATTTTTAAAAGACTTACATTGCATGGAACAAAAACTTAGGTTGTTAATGGCGAGGCAGGAATTTAAAACTTCATTAGAATTTCAAATATACTGTATAATCAATTTGCTAAATTAATTAAACCCAATCGTATATCTGTAGATTATGTCTTATCTAGATTATTTATGATAATCAGAATTGATTTAAGCTATTAAAAAATGCATTGATAATTGTGCTAATTAAGTAACTAAAAAATTATGAATTATAAAATTTCGATATATTTAAATAAAATTTATTTACTAGGTGGCAGAAACTCCTCAAGAAATACCATTTCTTAATATTCTTCAGCATTTATTACGGGTTGATTATTCACTTCCCATATCAGATATTATATGGGACACTGCAGAGACTTTGGTTCATCGAGCAACTTTATTGGAAAGTAAAGAAGATTCGGAGAAGTTATTGCGTTCACCGAACTCTTATCACAGTCTTAATAAGTTGAGAATAACTGAAATTAAATGTCAATGTTCGTGCCATAGGAATGAAGATTCTGAAGGAAGAACGCGAAGACGAACACCGATTCAACTTAATTTTGGAGATGGAACTAGAACTCCCGGTATATTATCGCCAACAGGTTCTGTCAGTCAAATCGATTTCGCTTCACCTAGATCGAATGTTACCTCACCGCCACCGCCGCCGCCACCTCCCCCTCCTCCTATTGCTCCTATTGTTTCGACTTCTGTTCCCCCGCCACCACCACCTTTACCGCCATCTCTGACATCTTTTTCTCCGCCACCACCGCCACCACCGCCGCCACCACCTCCTCCGCCTCTTCCAAATGGATGCGGTCCTCCTCCCCCTCCTCCACCTCCTCCGCCACCACTTTTTGGTAGCACTCCTCCTCCTCCACGTTCTTTATCTTCTAGCCCTCAACCTTCCGAAATGGACATTAAACTCCCTCAACAGGAAACTCCAAAACCGAAAAGTAAAATGAAAACTCTTAATTGGAATAAAATTCCCGCTCACAAAATTGTTGGAAAGAATAACCTATGGTCAATCGTCGCTAAAACTCACAATGGTAGTCCAAACGATCTAGATTTTGTTACAATGGAAGGGTTATTTTGCCAACAGAGCAATATGGTTAACGGTCAAGCTTCTCCCCAATTAAGGAAAAGAGAAACGGGAGATTACGTCGATCGAAAGAAAAGAGAATCGCTAGAAGTAAGCAATTAAAAATTTTCAAAATTTTCAGCAAATTACAAAACAATTTAAATAATTTAATAATTTATGAGTTTTTCAAACATTTAATAAACCGATTCTTTTTCCAAAACGAATTTGATCCGAGTAACAAATTCAAAAGTTACAAAACAGAAATGTATTGAAAAAAATTATAATTTCATTTTGTATTAAATTATTTACGAGTCTGCAAAAAATCTTGCCATATTTTTTCATTAAAAACTGATTAGCAAATTTATCTAATAACGATTTCTATATTAATCTATTCGAAAAACTAATTTTTTTCTTCCTACTTGGCTTGATATTTTTGAAAATTAGGATCGTGTTGAATACGATAAATATAAAAGCCTAATTTAATAAAAAGAACTGCAATGAAAATTTCTTAATCTTTTGTATGTAGTAAATAAGTTTTACATATATTATACATAGATAACACTAGGCTTATTGTCCTATAGATAATACTTGATATATTAAACTATATGTTAAACGTTTAATTTGAAAATTTGAAAGATAAAATCTTGACTCTGGCCTTAGAAAACTAAATATTTATTTTCATTGAAGTGTATATTTTTGCATGATGAATATATTTTTTTAAATCATAATTAAGATGTTTACGTAACGAATATTTTTTCATTGTATTGTGTTTTCAGATAACGTTACTGGATGGAAAAAGAAGTTTAAATGTAAACATATTTCTTAAACAATTCAGAAGGTAAATATTCATTAAAGTCTTGATTAAAATATTTATGATAACCTTTGCTCGCATACATCTTAGCAACATTTCACTTTCGTGCTCACGATGACATCAAAGACAGGTGTTTCTTTTTGTTTTTTGGGATAATGTTCATTTCGGGAGACTAATGTCAGATGAAAAATTAAGTTATTATTATTTAATTTGAATTTTATTTTTGTTTTCAATTATAATCTTTTTAGAATGAAATACTTAAGTATCTACATAATAAAAATCGGGTCGCTAAGACAAAAGTAGTTTTGGGTCGATGATTCATATAAGTTACAATGCAGTGGGCTATATGTTTACTATTTAATTACATCTAAGTAAATTATATCTTAGTTTTGTTGTTTTGCATTAAAACAAATCATTTTTAGGTCAGATTAAACATGATATAAAATTTAAACCATGATGGTTCACGATGTTTGTGATTCGAATTAGAAATGATTAATATTATGCATATTTTATAACACTTACTATATTTAAAAATTATAATTTATTTAATTTAATTTAATTTAATTAATTAAACATTTTTATTTCTTGTTATAGTCATCATAAATCTGATTAAAATGTCTTAAAACTATGGAATACTTAATTTTAATTTATTTATAAGTTAATAAATAAATTCTTATCAAATTTTAGTTAAGCTTATGTTATGTTCTCGAAACTTTAAATAAAAACTGAATAAACTTTTTGAATAATTGATTTTTATTAATTAGTAATATGGTTATTAAGATGATAACCATGCAACTAAGTAATAAGAAATGAATTAAATCCAAAAAACCAAAGTGTCATTAAATTTCAAGTACTGAGCACTAAAAAATTTTTATTTTTATGCTTTTCTGTATTAATTTATATCTAAACTGAATACACAATATAAATAGATAATTTATGAATTCTGTAGATAAAATAAATTATCACAGTTAATATTTCTCTCATACACATCCGTACGAATTTAATTTATATTATTATTATTTTTTTTTTTAATATTTGAAATCTTTTTAAATTTTAAATTTATTTTTTAAAGCACAAACGAAGAAATTATTTCTATTTTAAAAGAAGGAAGACACTCTGATATTGGTGCCGAACGATTAAGAGGTTTACTTAAAATACAACCAGAATCAGATGAAGTAATTTTTATAATTTATATATTATTATTATTTTATAAAGTCTGTCTATCTATTACTAAAGGCTTGTTGCTGCAACCAATACTCTCTCTCCTCTTCATCCCTTTTAAATTCATAACAATCTCAAAACTCCATTGAAGCATTAACTTCTAGGTACTNAAGGAAGACACTCTGATATTGGTGCCGAACGATTAAGAGGTTTACTTAAAATACAACCAGAATCAGATGAAGTAATTTTTATAATTTATATATTATTATTATTTTATAAAGTCTGTCTATCTATTACTAAAGGCTTGTTGCTGCAACCAATACTCTCTCTCCTCTTCATCCCTTTTAAATTCATAACAATCTCAAAACTCCATTGAAGCATTAACTTCTAGGTACTTTTTCCTTGATCTTCCTCTTCCTTTCTTTCCAAGAATTTTGCCTTTAAGGATAGTTTTTAGGAAAAAGTAAAAAATTAGTTTACTAAAAAGTATCTTAAAAACTATTTTATGAAGTAAAATAATATATTATTATATCATACAAAAGAAACTCCATTAGCCGGAGATCGATCTTGGTTTTCAAGATCTTTACATAAAAATAATTTATAGATTACGTAGAAATAATCGATGTTAATTCATTTGTTTTTGCTTGTTCATTTTCTTTAGTTGTATTAATTATAATTTTGTTGTAAAAAATAAAAAATGAAAATGAAATATTGTAAATGAAAAATCCGTGATTTTTCGATTATTTGAGCACACTCCTCTCCATCATCACACTGGTTAATGGAATTTCTATTGTATTCACTAGGGAGGATATGCGGGTAATGCAGCGGGTTTTAAGACTATGTCGCTTTTAAAAGTGACTGATATTAGAGCTAATAAACCTGGAATGAATCTTGTTCATTATGTTGCAGTGGTGCGTAAAAAATTAGGCATATTTTCATAATTCCAAATAAATTATTCATCACTCTAATTTAAAGATTTTTTCCTCTCTAATCAAGGAAGCTGAAAAGAAAAATACAGAACTGTTAAAATTTACCGATGAACTGGTCAATTTAGAAGAAGCAGCGAAGTAATCAAATTGATAAATTTAAATTAATTTTTATATTTAATGAAAGTCTAGTATTTCAAACAATAATATTTTATCTAGATTATCAATCGATAATTTGAAATCTGAAGTTTCTAGTCTAAGTCAAAGAGTGTCCAAAATTTCACAACAAGTTGCTTCGGCGGAAGATGAAATTAAAGAGCAAATGGAAGATTTTTTAAAGGTTATTTAGAAATCAATAGTTATAAAGATAATTTATTTTATCATTTTTAATTTATCATTTTTGTTTCCAGCGTGCAGAATGTGATGTCTCTTTGATTAATAAGGACATCGAGAATTTAAATATTATACGTAAGGATTTAGCAGACTTTTTATGCGAAGATTTTGAAACATTTAAACTAGAAGAGTGCTTTAAAGTATTTCAAAGTTTCTGCCAAAAGTTTAAAACAGCCGTACAAGTAAGTAGCTTATAGAGTATGCATTATTGTTTATAAATATTTTTTAATGAAAATTATTTTATAGCTTATTTTATTTAAAAAAAAAAATATATATATATAATTTATTAAGGAAAATGAAAGAAGGAAACAACAAGAAAAAAGAGCCGAAGAACGAAGAAGACAGAAGGAAGAACAAGCAAATATGAAACGTCGAAGTTATGCAGGTAATTTAAAATGTTAATTAACTTAATATTTAAACATTTCAAACTCTGAAATACTCTAATTTGTAATTTTAGGTACAGAAATTCGCGGTGTTTCTAACACCGATACAGATTCGATTATGGACATGTTATTAGGTGATATAAGAACTGGATTCCCTCAACGATTCAGCGATGGTTATAAAGGCAGAAAAAATAGAAATACAGATTATGCTCGTCTGAATAGTCAAACTGGAAGTCTAACTTCAGAAGATGAATATCTCAGTTCGCCGAAAATGCTTAGAAGAAGAATCGGATCTATGGGTTCGATTCCTGCTAACACTGAAACTCCAGATAGTATTTCGGATTCTCCTGACGTCACTCCTAACGGAACAATGAGAAGACGCAGAAGTAGATTATCCTCAGAAGAGCAAGAGGATTGTTTGATGGATTTCCTTCGCCAAGGTTCCGAGTTAGAAGCTAGAGACAGAAGATCATGGGGAAGTTATGATGGAGGATCATTAGACAGATCATGGTTAAGGCGATCTGGAAGAAGACGAAGACAAGATCTTTTGTCTGCGGATCTTAACGATAGAGAGCGTCCTGCTTCTCCAATTTCTCCTATGATGGATAAATGCATAGAATTGCCAGAAACAGAACCCGTAAAACCTAAGCAGTGGAAAAGGAAAATAGAGGATTGGCTCAGAGAAAACGAAAAAGAACAGGAGAAAGAGAAAAAATTAAGTGAAAGATTGAATTTAGAAAGAAAGAAAAGACACGAATTAGATCTTTTAGAAAATCGTTTAGGAAATATCGAAAAAGATGAAATTTGGAAAGATACAGGTCTTGCAACTCTTCACGAATCAAAAGCAGATAATGAAGGACAGAAATTAGATAACACAATTATTTGTCCAGATATAATAACATCGGAAATTGTTGAAACTCCTCAAACAAAAGATAAATCCAAGTGGAGAAAGAGTAATCTTAACGTCTCTGATGAAATGGAATCATTAGATAATAAGACAATAAATCAAAATTCTGATAATAATAGTAATAATAATAATAAGAGTTCAAGATTCTATGTCAGACGTTCATCAATAGATCCAATTAATCCAGAAAATAAACGTTTATTTAATGAAGATTGTAAAATAAACGGAATGTTTCACAATCAAAACGAAAAAATTGAAAATGTCGATAATATTACACTGGAATCAAAAATAACAACCAATGACTTAAGATGTCCACAAACGAGCAACTCTCAGATTGAGGAAAAGGAAATACCTATTCCTCCTATGAGAAATTCGAAAGCATATCAAAGTCTTCGAGAACCGAATTGGAAATTAAGAGAAAGAAAAGAAGAATTAAAATTACAGGATCAGCTTGACACGAAAGATTGCGAGAAAAAGAACGACAATTTGAAAGATCTAGTAAAATCTGATTCATGTTTAGATGAAAATTCGGAAGGAAATTTTAATAGATTTTCTCTGATGAGGAGGACTACAAGACGCCCACGACATAAAGATTTAGATATGCATAAAGATATAGATAATGAAATTATTAAAAAAGATATTCAAAATTCAAAATCGAAAACGGAATCTAAAAAATCTGACTCTGAACTTGATTATATTGAAGGTGCTATTCAACATATTAATATAGCTAGTCAAGAAATTAAAGAACTCGATAAAGTAGAAGAAAAAGAAACTTTGGCAGAAAAAGAAAATAGGAAGAGACCAAGCACATTAAAATCGAAATTAGTTAAACGACTCCATTCCTTGACAGAAAATCTAAAACCCTCAGGGAAAGAATGTGAATCTCAAAACAATAATAGTGAGAACGCTGATATCGAAAATATTTTAACCAATTCCAATATAAATCATTTTAAAAATTCAATTGATAATATTGCACACGAAAAAGTATTCCGTTCAACTTTAGTAATGACTCCAACATCGCCTATGTCAGAAAACAAAACACTATTTTCTACTTCAAACAATGGTAAAAATCCAGATTCTGTAAATAATACAAAATCTTCCAAAGAATTATCCAATGAGAAAAATGAATTTCATTTTAACGAAGCAAAAAAACACATCATAAATGTAGATAAGCCCGTTTTGCAGAGTCCTTCCAAAGTAGTCACTAGTCATATTGTTCCACTCAAATCGCGGACTTCAGATGAACCAGAAAAAGATGAAGGTTTTGAAGAAACCCAGTCGCAACTCAGTGAAACTCTTTCTCAAGCTACTTCTAGTTGTGCTTACGACACAGATTTAGTAGATTCTCCTAAAAGTTTTAGAATAAAGAAAGAAGAATGCTCAGTAAATTTACCTAATACTCAACAAACTGAACAAAAGACGTGTACAGTAGAAAATGCAGAAAAATCAAAAGAAGAGAGTAAAGTAGTTAAAAGTTCACCACAAAAACCATCAAAAATACCTCAGAGACCTTCTACATTAGGAATCCCTGTCCTCAACAGATCTTTAAGTATATCTGACAGATCTAAATATAACGGAAGAACAATTAGTCCTGGAAAGACTACAAGCCCAGAAAGAACAATGAAACGGTCAAGATCTGTAATGGATAGATCCTATTCAACTATTGGAAATTACACGAGACGGCAAAAGCCCCAAAGAACACTATCACACGATTCCCAGAATTCTATTTGTGATTCAGAAAAAGGTTCCAGATCAAGTCTTCGGAGTTCTAGAAGTAGTATTTGTAGCGATACCACAAAGTCCAAGAATGGAATTATTAAAGAAAAGGATTTTTCGAGAAAAATCGCTAATTACACAAATGGAGTAAGAGGATTGACACGTAATCTCAGGAAAAAAGGCCAAGAAATTTATGATTCCACTCAATCTGTTCCATCAACCCCACTAGAAGAAACTAGATTCATATCTAAGTTAGAGAGATCAAGAAGAACGAATTCTAATCATTCTGTAAATAGATACAGTCCTGCGGGATCCAGGTCTCCAAGCAGCAGATCTTTATCTCGAAGATCCAGTGATGGTTCTACGGATACGAAACGAAGTGGAATAAGATATTCATCTACTTCCACTAGAAATGGGATATCGGGCATATCTAGAAGAAAACCTCATTTGATCCAAAAGTCTAGCAATGTTGTTAATGGTAAAAATCTGAATAAAACTCCATCGCCTTCCAGTTCGCCCAACAGAAAAATTGATTCGAAAAGTTGTAATTTTATGAGAGCCACATCTGCTTCTGCTGCAAAAATTTCTTCTGGAAAATCACAAGAATTTTCAATTTCTAATCAAAGATTGAGGACTAAACCTGTGCTTGGAACAAAAACGAGGTCTCCAAGTAGTAAAATTCCAATTAAATAACACTGTTTGAATTATATTTCTATAATGTGACTCTACAACAAGCATTAAAAACAATTCTATAAAATGGGGGGATTATTAATATTCATATTTTATATAAAATCTAATACGGATTATTACTAATAAAGTACAACTTACTACTAAGATACTCAGACCAAAATAACAATCATTATAACGTTCATATTTTTAAACATATTTTAACCAATAAAGATAACATAAATTATATTTTGTAAGAATTTAATTAAAATGTAAAAAAATTAAATCTGCATCATGTAATTTAATGTACATAATCTCTATTATTTTTCTCAACAACGAGAGGACGTAGATTTTTCACAAACTTTTATAGCCACTTCTTCCATATTCTAAAATTGAAATTCTTTAAAATTATAATTTGTGTATTATCACCACCATTCGATATTTAAGTTTATTTATTTCAATCTACTTAATTTTCAAATGACATCTTAAAAATTTTCGTGATATTTATATTTAAATAATAGACTACTTAAAAATTGTTCTTTACTCCAAAAATTAATAAGTTTGATCATATATAATGCTCTTCCAACCATGACAATTGTATAAATAATTGTTAAAGTAATTTTTATAATACACTTTTTATATAGATTTTGTGATACTATATAATTTTGTACAGAAAATTTACTAACATGTATCAATTTAATACAAATAAATATACTTAAACTTGTTACATTTGTTTACTTATTTTTAAATCTATATTGTAATTTTAGTCCTTAAAAATTAACTTGATACCTAACTTCCGTTTTATGCTATATTATTCATAAGAAATACAATAAAAATTATTTTAATGTTCATAAAGAGGTCAACAATGGTTAATAAGCGACTTTTTACAGTTAAATTTGGATTATCGATGATCATGCCACATAAACACAGAAGCTGATTTGATGGTAAAATCCTAACGTCAATACAAAATTGTAGACTAACACTTTTAAGACTTAATTAGTTCCTGAAAAATGTCATAAAGCGAACCCTCGTTACTTTTCAAAAAACAACGTTAAAAATTAGGATAAAAATTCTGAAAGTACAGTTATAACTCTGTAATGTCATGCAAAAAATCCATCAACGAGTTGCTTAACTTTCCCGGCAACGTTTAAAACTATATGTAACGCCATTTGTTATGATAAAAACTTTTTATATTTTTAATTATTATAAAGTGGCAAAAAACTTAATTTTAGGGATAAGGATGTGGTTTAAAAAAATTGTAAATGCTAATAACGAGTAAAATCGTCATTAAGTCCGATCCTACTCGAGACATGATCTCCCTTTATCTCCCCATTCCCGTCGATCTTTCACCACCAAAATTTAATAGCATCAATCCTCTAATACACAAACCTCTCTGCAAAATTTCAGAAATTTTTGACAAAAAAGAAAGATTATTAAGTTTCAAAATAGGTAAACAAAATCGTGCTCCCCTCACACACTAATATCCATACATACAGAACCTCCTCCATATTTTTCCGCATTTCTCGAAGTTTCGAGGTCCCTTAAGTCCCAAAATGTAAAAATCTTGGAGGAAGGATCATTTTTTCAACCATCACTATACTTTCCCTGTGTTATATATAAAAGCTAGCGAAGTAAAAATTCCGTGTGAATACATGAAAATTTGTATGCAAAAATTTCGTGACAGAACTTGTTTATTTATGACAAGTCGGACAAAGTCAGACAAGGAAAGTCCTCCCGGAAGGCATTCTATCTCCCTTCGCGTATCTTCCGGCCGTCTTCTATAAGGCCAGCTCTTTCGTCGCCTTGCGATCTATCTCCTGTCTCTCTTCTCTTCGGAGTAAAAGCGAATATCAATACACTCCTCTATAAATAAAGGAAAGAAAGAAAGACAAAGAGGAGGGGAGAGGTTGAGCTTCAATGGACGTCCGTTTTATTTCATTAAATTTTACACAGTTTACATATTTTATTATTCATAAAGTGATAAAGATTTTAAGGGAAGGTTGAGTTTTGTTGGACGTCCGAAGAGGTGAGGAGAGGTTACGGAATCTTGGGCAAACTGGGACAATGGGAAAGGAGTAAAAACTTAAAGAAAAATGCGAATGTAATTTATGGACAATTCTTAATAAAAAAATTGATAGTACTCGTAGAGTAAGGATCTACTGCACTGCTCCACAAAAGGAAATAATTCTTGTTACATTAATAAAAAGTTATTGAAATAAACGAATGACGGATTGCAATTAATTTTTAATGGGTTAATTTTAAAAACTTTGAAACAAAACACCAAAAAGATAAAGCTACATATAGTATCAAAGAGAGAAGTTAAAGAGTAAAGAGAAAATTGTTTACGCAACGTTTATCGCATGGAATCCAAATTCACATCCTTTGAATAACGTACCATACCGAATGTTCTGTTATAATTACTTAAAAATGCATTTTTTTANATATACTGTATAATCAATTTGCTAAATTAATTAAACCCAATCGTATATCTGTAGATTATGTCTTATCTAGATTATTTATGATAATCAGAATTGATTTAAGCTATTAAAAAATGCATTGATAATTGTGCTAATTAAGTAACTAAAAAATTATGAATTATAAAATTTCGATATATTTAAATAAAATTTATTTACTAGGTGGCAGAAACTCCTCAAGAAATACCATTTCTTAATATTCTTCAGCATTTATTACGGGTTGATTATTCACTTCCCATATCAGATATTATATGGGACACTGCAGAGACTTTGGTTCATCGAGCAACTTTATTGGAAAGTAAAGAAGATTCGGAGAAGTTATTGCGTTCACCGAACTCTTATCACAGTCTTAATAAGTTGAGAATAACTGAAATTAAATGTCAATGTTCGTGCCATAGGAATGAAGATTCTGAAGGAAGAACGCGAAGACGAACACCGATTCAACTTAATTTTGGAGATGGAACTAGAACTCCCGGTATATTATCGCCAACAGGTTCTGTCAGTCAAATCGATTTCGCTTCACCTAGATCGAATGTTACCTCACCGCCACCGCCGCCGCCACCTCCCCCTCCTCCTATTGCTCCTATTGTTTCGACTTCTGTTCCCCCGCCACCACCACCTTTACCGCCATCTCTGACATCTTTTTCTCCGCCACCACCGCCACCACCGCCGCCACCACCTCCTCCGCCTCTTCCAAATGGATGCGGTCCTCCTCCCCCTCCTCCACCTCCTCCGCCACCACTTTTTGGTAGCACTCCTCCTCCTCCACGTTCTTTATCTTCTAGCCCTCAACCTTCCGAAATGGACATTAAACTCCCTCAACAGGAAACTCCAAAACCGAAAAGTAAAATGAAAACTCTTAATTGGAATAAAATTCCCGCTCACAAAATTGTTGGAAAGAATAACCTATGGTCAATCGTCGCTAAAACTCACAATGGTAGTCCAAACGATCTAGATTTTGTTACAATGGAAGGGTTATTTTGCCAACAGAGCAATATGGTTAACGGTCAAGCTTCTCCCCAATTAAGGAAAAGAGAAACGGGAGATTACGTCGATCGAAAGAAAAGAGAATCGCTAGAAGTAAGCAATTAAAAATTTTCAAAATTTTCAGCAAATTACAAAACAATTTAAATAATTTAATAATTTATGAGTTTTTCAAACATTTAATAAACCGATTCTTTTTCCAAAACGAATTTGATCCGAGTAACAAATTCAAAAGTTACAAAACAGAAATGTATTGAAAAAAATTATAATTTCATTTTGTATTAAATTATTTACGAGTCTGCAAAAAATCTTGCCATATTTTTTCATTAAAAACTGATTAGCAAATTTATCTAATAACGATTTCTATATTAATCTATTCGAAAAACTAATTTTTTTCTTCCTACTTGGCTTGATATTTTTGAAAATTAGGATCGTGTTGAATACGATAAATATAAAAGCCTAATTTAATAAAAAGAACTGCAATGAAAATTTCTTAATCTTTTGTATGTAGTAAATAAGTTTTACATATATTATACATAGATAACACTAGGCTTATTGTCCTATAGATAATACTTGATATATTAAACTATATGTTAAACGTTTAATTTGAAAATTTGAAAGATAAAATCTTGACTCTGGCCTTAGAAAACTAAATATTTATTTTCATTGAAGTGTATATTTTTGCATGATGAATATATTTTTTTAAATCATAATTAAGATGTTTACGTAACGAATATTTTTTCATTGTATTGTGTTTTCAGATAACGTTACTGGATGGAAAAAGAAGTTTAAATGTAAACATATTTCTTAAACAATTCAGAAGGTAAATATTCATTAAAGTCTTGATTAAAATATTTATGATAACCTTTGCTCGCATACATCTTAGCAACATTTCACTTTCGTGCTCACGATGACATCAAAGACAGGTGTTTCTTTTTGTTTTTTGGGATAATGTTCATTTCGGGAGACTAATGTCAGATGAAAAATTAAGTTATTATTATTTAATTTGAATTTTATTTTTGTTTTCAATTATAATCTTTTTAGAATGAAATACTTAAGTATCTACATAATAAAAATCGGGTCGCTAAGACAAAAGTAGTTTTGGGTCGATGATTCATATAAGTTACAATGCAGTGGGCTATATGTTTACTATTTAATTACATCTAAGTAAATTATATCTTAGTTTTGTTGTTTTGCATTAAAACAAATCATTTTTAGGTCAGATTAAACATGATATAAAATTTAAACCATGATGGTTCACGATGTTTGTGATTCGAATTAGAAATGATTAATATTATGCATATAATACCCTTCTATTTGGAATTTTTTCGTAGTCGTTAGCTTTAAAATTTCAAGAAACTTTTAATTTTAATATTTTTAGGAAGTAAATCGATAGTAAAATTNTGTAAAAATGAGCAATTATTTATTGTGACATCGTCAAAATGCCGGGCTGCAATTTTTAATCATATTTTAAAATAATTTTTTAATTTATAATATATGCTCTCCACTTCAAATTAGTAGTGTTTTGTCCCCTGTACATCATACTTTTCCTTTAGCAATCTAATTGTGCCGGTCATCTATCTAACTCCTTTAAAAATTCCTGATTCGACCAGGGATACAATCCAGGTGAACAACTTCCAAGAACTATTCGCGGGAGGTCTATCCCGGATATATCGAGCCTCTTTCCTCATCACCACCGTGCCGCTCCCATTGCGAGCCTGGCAAATCCACGATAGATAATGAAAAAAAGACCTTCTTATTATTCACAGAACGGAAAGAGACAAAAATGAAAAATAAAGTTCAACCTTTAATTTTAAAAAAATGTTTTACAAGATTAATCTACAGTTTTTCCAATTTAAATTAATTTTATTGCCAATGGGCTTCTAGGCGGTGCGTGAGTCAATGATATCTGAAGCGAAAAACGATTTTTGTCGCCCACAAGCATTTTTATTTGAATTAGAGCTTCATTGATAAAGTCTTCAAAAAATAAATAAATTTCGAAGACGAATAGGTTTTTCAAGTTTATCAAATGCAGATTAATTTTGGATAGTCATTTAGTACAAGTTAAGCAGCAAATAATATTCTAATTTCTGAGTTATCAATCATTTGAGTAAATACTTTAGGAGACAAGAAGCTAGTCCTCTAAAATAAAATAATTCATAAAAATTAAAATCAATTATTCACATGTGTGTAAATTTGGCTAATTATTCAATAGTTATATAATTAATAATTATTTTTCAAAATATTTGAAGAAAATAAAAAGCTGGCAACATTTAATTTATAACAACTCGTCTGCTGTTATAACGCATGCTCCGTACCAATTAGTCAAGAACTAGGCGGCAGTATTTGAGTTCGTCTGTGTAATATAGTCTGGAAATTTCATAAGTGCTAATTTTTGAAGTTTTTAAAGAAAATGGCTCAGAAAAGGAAACGTTTTTCTCAAATATTTCGTAAGTATTTGGCTTTGAATTCAAAATTTTAGTTAATACAAATGCTAATATTGGAATTTAAAATATTATCATTAGTTTCGGTATTAACCTCATATTATTAATTAATAAGAAATGTTTAAATTAAAACATTAATTTGAAATTCGTATAATAATTAATTGGTTTAATGAAGTTACAAACACTCGGATGACCTCCCCTCCCCTGTGTCGGAATTCATTAACACCCTATTGACACCCTCTCCGTGTCGACGTTGTCGCAATAAATGCACGCCCCTAGGACGCTCGACCGTCTCATTCAGAACTGCATTTTTATCCAAATGAGCGTGTGAGATTATATGGATTGGATTGGTCCGAAGAGAAATTTTAAACATAAACGAATGCTTACCCTAATCTATTATTATGGTTGGAAGCTTGTTGGTAAAAAAACTACGGGCTTTGCAAATGTCAGAATTGATAACTTTTTTGAGCTATTCTTTACAAAATATTTATTTACTATTTGTGGTAACCAACAAAAGTTTTTTAAACTTTTAATTAAGTAATGTAAGCCCTCCTATTGAAAATCGAGAAAACTTTCAAACTATGAAAAAAGCTGTATTATTGTATTTTTCTTTAATATTTGTTTCCTGATAATTGAATGTAGGAGATGTATAATCTTTAGTGAGATTTTTTTTTTTACGTTATTATGTCTTTGTTCACATTGGACGTTTTTGTGTACTAGAACTTGTTAATCTGAGAGAAGTGAATCATAACAATCCACGAAACCTTTTTTTTACAAGTTATGGTCCGTAGTAAACTCCACAAACGCTTTGACCTCCACCGAGGTCTGCTTCAAATGGTGGCTGACCGTGTTTCCTCCTGACCGTCGTAACGATGTTGCCAGAGATGTAAATAATTGTTTGTGTTGGGTTTCACCCTCGTTCGAGGAATTCGAACAGGGACGGTCAGAGGGGTGAAACCCAACACAAACAATTATTTACATCTCTGGCAACATCGTTACGATGGTCAGGAGGAAGCACGGTCAGCCACCATTTGAAGCAGACCTCGGTGGAGGTCAAAGCGTTTGTGGAGTTTACTACGGACATAACACTTGTAAAAAAAGGTTTCGTGGATTGCTGTTATTCAACGCAGTGTTAAGTGGTTGGAAGAAGTGAATCGTATAATTTCCAGGTAAAACACGTTTAATGTAATGTAATCCTGTGTGCCACTGTTTCGTCATTTTGAGTCAAAGCTGCCCCTCAACAGGATTGTCACATTAAAGGTGTTTTACCAAGAAATTGTGTGAATTTACTTTCCTCAGTATAACAATTTCTAGTTTACAAGAATGTCTGGTAGACAATGACATAATATTTATTTATTTATTAGCAGTAATAGAATAGTTTTGTAATTGGGCTTTCAATTGTCAAAATACAAAATTTTCCAAAAAAAAAAGTGATGGTATGAAAAACGTTATGAAAAGATGATTAATATATATTAATCATGTTTTCATAAAGTATTAAAAATTCTTAATATTAATATATTAAGAATTTTTAAGGATTTTTTATAGAAGGAGTAACAACATTGATAAGCAAATATTTAAAAAATTTCATTTACTTATTAAATGCTTGAGTTCTTCATCTTTCTCTTTTGAACTTTTTATCATTGCAGTAAATGATTTCCCTCCCATTATTGCTAGAAACAAGGACTATACAATTTGCATTAATGCTACAAGATAGAATTTGTGGATCTCTACAAAAAAAATGTTGAAATTTCTACACTAAATCTTCATGGTTTGCATTTATGAATCACAATTTGTATGGAGTTTTAAGTATTTTCTCATCAATTATAAGTTAATATCTAATACAGACCTTTTAATGTACATTTCTTTAAAATATGTTCAGAGTTGAAGATCCTTATTACATAAAAACAAATTAATTTCAAAAAATACTTTTGCTCAAGGTACAAAATTTCTATAAATATCAAATGCTTCTAATTAGTTTCTAATTAAAATGTTTTTATAAAACAAGTCAGTATATCAAGCTGTAGAAAAATATACATTGTGTAATGCTTGCAAAATTATTTCAAAAGTCATATATTCACTTAAACTATTATAACAATGTAAGAAAATTTTAATGCTTGAAATTTAATTCACTGAAAAACTTCAATAAAAATATTTTAGATTTTTAATTTAGAAGACTTATTTAATTTAGAACTAGAATAAATAGAACACTTTAATTGCAAATACATGCTGTATTTTAAGTTTAATAATAACTCAGGTTTTTATCAAATTTTCAAAGTACTTTCATTAAAATTTATTTAAGATATAACATATTGTAATTCTAACAATGAAATAGGTATTCCAAAAAAAAATTAAAGGAAATACATATTCTTTTTAGGAATGTAATTAAAAATGTATTTTCATTTTTATATAATATGGGATAGGCTAATTTTAATACAAAATAGATGCTTTATTCAAATTGATATTTTTTAATATTTGGGAAATATTTTTAAAATTAATATTTAAAGTGATTTATTTTTCTTATTTTAATTCAGAAACAATTTTTTGTTTTATCGAATTTACTATTATATTTATACTGTTTAAGAAAATATATATTTTTTAAAATAACTTTTTGACTTGAAAAACCTGATTTAATGTTTGTTTTAATTTGAAACTTTATTATGAAAAGTTTATATTATAATTTTAAACAATTAAAATTTTTAAGTTTTTTTTTTTATTATTTGAATATTTTATAGATAAAAAAGAAAGTGATGATTATAGAAGATTATCCTTAGCTTCACCAGATGAAAATTCAAGATGTTATAGAGAGTCATTTTTAGAAAATGAACCAAAAAAAGTGAAGCAAGCTCGTTCTGAAAGATTATCAACATGGGAACGTAGGAAGCAATATGACTATGAAGTGTAATGTGTACTTCTATCTAAAATTATGTATTAACTCACACAAATGAATGATATTTACTGGAAAAATACATGAAAGGAATACTAAAACTTCATAAACATAAGATTTGATAGTTAAAAGTACATTATGCAAAGGCAATGAAATGAAGTGGCTTAAAATGGTATCATTTCAGTACCATTTTAAACCATTCATTTTATTAGCTAGACAAGTCTTAACAATGTATCTGTTTAAAATTAAATTGAAATTAAACCATCTTAGAGTTCTTGCAGTCCCTGGATAAATAAAATAATTAATTTCTTAAGTACTTTTATTTTATTTAACCATGAAGTACAAGGACTAACATTATAAAGATGTACTTGAAGGTCAGACTATTTACAAAAATATCAAAATTTTTGAGTCTATCTTAATCCTTTTTGTAAATAGTCTGACCTTCAAGTATGAAGAAATATATCCTGAGTGATTACAGAAATTGTATCCATTATAAAGATGGTTTAATTTTAATTTACTGTAATTTTACTTGTGTGGTGTGCTATATAGTTATCACATTAGAATATGTAAACAAAAATTATTTTTCTGTTGGAATTTTCATAAATATCAAATGAAGTTTTTACTTTTAAAGTAAACTTCATACAAATAAAGTATTAATTTTTCATTTTAATTTAATTCAAATGCATTTAAATGAGCTTGTTTTTATGTTAAAAAATGTTCTTAACTGATAATGTTTATATATGTATTGCATTCAATTATGTTTTACATGATATCAATAAATATGTTCCTGAAAAAAATGTGTAAAAAAAATAGTATAGAGAGTTACCCCTTTCATAGAAAAATGGGAAATTAGTTCCAGACTTTAAAACGTAGTAAAAATACAATAAACCAATTAATTTAACAGGATGTGCTTAAACAAATTATTTCAATTTTAGATAAGCCTTTAAATTGAAATTATCCTGCTCGATAGTTTCTGCACCCTTTGAATCTAGGGCAAATATGAAGCGTACAATTTTGTTGAAGTAATTGGACAAGAAAACTTTGCATCTTATCCCTAGTATCCCATCTTATCTTATCCCTGTTATGACAGATAATTGCAGTACATGAGCCCAATTACTTCTCAATATAAAACTTGATAACTGAGGAGGGTTTTACAAGAATCACCTTCAGAGCAACAATGAACTCATTTACTCTATTGTATTCCTCCCTGATATCTTCACAAACACAGTGTAGACTATGTGCAATACATGTCACATGGTTGAGGTTGGGGTACATGGCCTTCAGTTGTTGGAAAGCCAAAAGCATATAGCATGCTTGATTGCTCACTACAAGCCTGACTTTTTTGTATTTTATGTTCCCTAGCCACAGCTTCATGCATGAATTATTGAATATTCCTGTTTTGGATTGGTACAGCTTTACAAGCATGGGTTTCACCCATTCACCAAATAATGGAAATACCAGCACATTTAATATATATATATTTGTGGTATATTCATATCAAGATATCTTATTAGTAGTTTCATCCAACACAAATTCCACTACATGCTACCATCATCACAATATTTACATTGCAGACAGCACATCAAAGAATGAGACCGTCAGTTTCAATGAATTGCATCTTAAAATCTTCTGAAAGTGCTTACCTCCTTTCAGAAAGTGACTTACCTCCTTAAGGAGGTAAGCACTTTCAGAAGAATTTCCTTTCAGACTTTCAGAAGAACCTCCTTTTGGCATGTTTTTATTGTGAACAGTGAATTCTGGTTTGGACTGATTACACTAACACAACTATCTATGTAGAACAATATCCATCAGAATCCAAGGCCAGAACGAAATGCTTTTTTTTCTGAACCTCCTTTATATACTGGGGATGGGAGAATAGAACATTACTGTTTTGTCAAAGTTTATATTTTCTTGTGGGGCTTTGTTTTATTATCTCAGGAACTATTGGGGCTGAAAAGACTATTTACCGTCTTTAGTCAAAGACGATTTATGATATACCATTTTATAGTTCTTGGTCTGTTCTATGAAATAAGGTTGTGTGATTTTATTATTAGTGAGGTGAGGCCAAAGTTTTAAATGTGAAAATGTGTATGTCGGATGTTTGGCACCACTTTCCTGTAAGCCTAGAAGTTTGACAATGATGTTTGGATATTCAGTGGAATCATGCTTGACATTCCAAACACCATTGTCAAACTTCTAGGCTTACAGGAAAGCAGCACTGAATGTCCGATGTACACATTTTCGCATTTAAAACTTCAGCCTCAACCCTCAAAAAGTGCTGAAGCATAAAAGAAGAGGAAAAAGGGAGGAGGTGCAACATAATGTATTCATTTTGCTTCATTTCGTGCCCCAAAAATATATATCTTGAACCATCCATATGAAAACAGTTATATTTTTGGAAAGGTGTGGCACCTTAAAATCCTTTCTCTAGTCGTCATTAATGTCATTTGAAATTTTTACATAGTATCAATTTGTAGAATGGAATTAATATTTATTATTATGAGTAATGGTGTGACAAATATTAATTTGATATTTTATTTTAAAAAATTGGTAGGTGAAAAGATAATATAAATCAGGCTTTCATTTATATTTGAGTCAGACACATAATGACAAGCTAAATAGCACAAAATAGTATTCCTAATCATGTTTTCATTTTCAATTTTGAACTACAAAAATTTTTATTATAATTTAAACTTTATTTATATTACTAATTATTTAAATTTTTAATAAAATGAATATACCCTAATAAAAATATCTTTGACTCAAACACCTTATGCTTCCAAGAAGTAATATTTATTATCCTACAAATATGTTTTTAGGATAATAAATATTACTTCTCAGAAGCATAAGGTGTTTGAGTCAAAGTATTCAAAGAATCTGAGCGTTTATTGAAAAGTAAAAATATCATTTACCAAAGAGAAATAATTTCAAATGCTTTCAAATAATGAATTTTAGTTGCAGGAAATAGTATTAAAAAACAAACAAGAAGTCATCTACAATCATTTATTACATGTAACAAATATGAATTATTGTCAATTGATCTTTAAAATGTTTCACATTTTTTAAAGTTTGAATATTTGATGTCAATTGGCAACAATTGATAACAATTGTTACTATATCACAACTATAATTTAAGTAATATTAGTTGGTATCTGTTGAATAAAATAATGAAATGATATTTTTACTAAGATTATTAATATAATATGCATGCATATAAATTTATGTACACAGGGCTATTTTTCAGCTGGAATACAGCAATACACCATACAGATAGCATAAAAGTTATCACTATCTGGTATGTAGTATCAGTATTTCCTCATTAAGAAAAATTCAATATGTTCAGGCAAAGTCTGTTAACTGACACAACACAAATGAACAAACTGAACTTGAGCCACTCTATTTGCCAAATTAATGCCATAGACCAATTGGAACCAACATAAAAAGTATTGATAAATAGGGTGGGACCCCCTTTTATTAAAAGCAATCTTTCATTGAATGGATAGTGTCTGGTAACTGTCTGTCCCTGTTTTGTTTTTGTCAAGAAACAAAGTATGAGAAAGGTAATGATAATTTGAAAGGGAATGGTACTAACCTTTTCAAATTATCATCAGCAAAAATGAAGTTCAAATTTTCATGGTTATTAAAAAGGCAATATTTAGTAACTTATAATAAATCCAAAATAAGAAATAGGGAAGAAAGTGCAAACAAAGATATACAAAACTACTGTATAATATAAATGATACAACATAAATGTGTACATGTATAAAGAAGAAAAATTTTTTTGTTTATCAAATATGCATACTGCCAATAATTTTTTTTAAAAAGAGCACTGTGTGTATAAAATATATATAGTTTGCATACATAAAAATAAATATATTATGTGATTTTTACTTACAGAAAGAAATTACATTCAGACAAATCAGCTTCACCTTGTTTGAAAAACAGATCTAAAGTGCCAATCTTGAGAAATGGTAACTCTAAAAGAAGAACAAAAAATACTAGTAATTTACTAAAATCAAGTTCATCAAGTTTTCATGAAGATTTTGAAAAACAAAATGAAAATACAAATAATAAGGAAAATATCTCAGAAACAACAAAAACAATAAGATCATTGACATTTACAGTGAGAAAGCCTTTATTTCCAGTATTACAGAACTCAGAAGATGATGATAAAAATAACTGTAGTTTATTGACAGATAAATTATCTGAACAGAATTCTGACACATCTGAAGAATACAAAAAATGTGAAAAATCAAATAAAGTAATTAGAAACCATTCCTATGTTGTTTCAAAATGTGATAATTCCAAGTCTTTACCAAATATATCTCTATATGAAAGAAGGTAATATTTCTTTTTAACTCATTTTGTTTTCTTATTTATATTTGTAAATATAAGCACATTGAATCTATTACTATATAAACATCATACAAAACATGTTTTAACAGTACATTATATTCTTTATATTTTCAAATTTTCAGATAAATTGCTAACAAGTAAGTTTCTGTCAGGAAAATAGCATTCAAATACAAATAAAAGTTATTACTAAAATTTTTTAAAATGATGTCAAATTGTTTAAAAATGTCCATTATTATTCTTGAAATTTGTATTTTAATTAGTGTTAAGGAATATACTTAATTCATATTTTTAGTATAAATTTGAATAATTTGGAATTAGTGTGTTTCATAATTCAACTTAACATGTGATCTTCCAATTTTATAAAATGTTTTTTCAGAAATTCTCCAAAATATATAATGTAAACTCTTGGGGCATGGATGAAATTGTAATGTTTGTTTGTCATTTACATCTAATTATCAGTCATTTGTTGTTTTTAACTATATTTTTGTGATGTTTAAGCATGGAATATAAAACTTTTATCTTTAATTTAATTAAAAAAATAGTGATTTTTAATTAAATAAGAAAAGAAAGTAAGAGAGTATGATATATACCGGGTGATTCAAAAGTCACAGAAATAAAAAAAATAATAACTTGCAAACTATTTACAGTAAGATGATGCTGTTTTCACAGAAATGCTTACAAAGAAGCAGGATTTTTTTGTGTAATAAAAATTTTAGTACCAAAATAGTTTACATTTCTTGCCATAGATGGCACTTGTTAAGATTACATAATTTGTGAAGTTGTTACTAGAGTTTACACTAAGAACATTTTTATTTTTTTATTCTTACTTTAACAAATTTACAAATTATTTCAGTTTCTTACAGCGCCATCTATGGCAAGAAATGTAACTATTTTGGTACTAAAATTTTTATTACACCTAAAAAAATCCCGCTTCTTTGTAAGCATTTCTGTGAAAACCACATCATCTTACTGTAAATATTGGGTTGAAAAATACCACTAGACGGATTAGTGGTATTTTTCCCGCCATTTTCATTCTAAACCATATTATCATTATATATTTTGACAGCTAGCATTTTATGGCTTATTTGTAAAAAATTTTGTTTGATTTCGTGCAATTGTTTATTTTTTGTGTCCCATCAAATATGGAAGATCGAAAGCAGCATCTTTGGCATATTTTGCTTTTTTATTACCAAAAAAATAAAAATGCCATCAAGCAAGAAAAAAATTGTGTGACATGTATGGTGGAGATGTGTTGACAGAACGACAGTGCCAAAACTGGTTTACAAAATTTTGTTCTCGCAATTTCAGTATTGAAGATGCACCACGTTATNTTCTTTGACTCAAACACCTTATGCTTCCAAGAAGTAATATTTATTATCCTACAAATATGTTTTTAGGATAATAAATATTACTTCTCAGAAGCATAAGGTGTTTGAGTCAAAGTATTCAAAGAATCTGAGCGTTTATTGAAAAGTAAAAATATCATTTACCAAAGAGAAATAATTTCAAATGCTTTCAAATAATGAATTTTAGTTGCAGGAAATAGTATTAAAAAACAAACAAGAAGTCATCTACAATCATTTATTACATGTAACAAATATGAATTATTGTCAATTGATCTTTAAAATGTTTCACATTTTTTAAAGTTTGAATATTTGATGTCAATTGGCAACAATTGATAACAATTGTTACTATATCACAACTATAATTTAAGTAATATTAGTTGGTATCTGTTGAATAAAATAATGAAATGATATTTTTACTAAGATTATTAATATAATATGCATGCATATAAATTTATGTACACAGGGCTATTTTTCAGCTGGAATACAGCAATACACCATACAGATAGCATAAAAGTTATCACTATCTGGTATGTAGTATCAGTATTTCCTCATTAAGAAAAATTCAATATGTTCAGGCAAAGTCTGTTAACTGACACAACACAAATGAACAAACTGAACTTGAGCCACTCTATTTGCCAAATTAATGCCATAGACCAATTGGAACCAACATAAAAAGTATTGATAAATAGGGTGGGACCCCCTTTTATTAAAAGCAATCTTTCATTGAATGGATAGTGTCTGGTAACTGTCTGTCCCTGTTTTGTTTTTGTCAAGAAACAAAGTATGAGAAAGGTAATGATAATTTGAAAGGGAATGGTACTAACCTTTTCAAATTATCATCAGCAAAAATGAAGTTCAAATTTTCATGGTTATTAAAAAGGCAATATTTAGTAACTTATAATAAATCCAAAATAAGAAATAGGGAAGAAAGTGCAAACAAAGATATACAAAACTACTGTATAATATAAATGATACAACATAAATGTGTACATGTATAAAGAAGAAAAATTTTTTTGTTTATCAAATATGCATACTGCCAATAATTTTTTTTAAAAAGAGCACTGTGTGTATAAAATATATATAGTTTGCATACATAAAAATAAATATATTATGTGATTTTTACTTACAGAAAGAAATTACATTCAGACAAATCAGCTTCACCTTGTTTGAAAAACAGATCTAAAGTGCCAATCTTGAGAAATGGTAACTCTAAAAGAAGAACAAAAAATACTAGTAATTTACTAAAATCAAGTTCATCAAGTTTTCATGAAGATTTTGAAAAACAAAATGAAAATACAAATAATAAGGAAAATATCTCAGAAACAACAAAAACAATAAGATCATTGACATTTACAGTGAGAAAGCCTTTATTTCCAGTATTACAGAACTCAGAAGATGATGATAAAAATAACTGTAGTTTATTGACAGATAAATTATCTGAACAGAATTCTGACACATCTGAAGAATACAAAAAATGTGAAAAATCAAATAAAGTAATTAGAAACCATTCCTATGTTGTTTCAAAATGTGATAATTCCAAGTCTTTACCAAATATATCTCTATATGAAAGAAGGTAATATTTCTTTTTAACTCATTTTGTTTTCTTATTTATATTTGTAAATATAAGCACATTGAATCTATTACTATATAAACATCATACAAAACATGTTTTAACAGTACATTATATTCTTTATATTTTCAAATTTTCAGATAAATTGCTAACAAGTAAGTTTCTGTCAGGAAAATAGCATTCAAATACAAATAAAAGTTATTACTAAAATTTTTTAAAATGATGTCAAATTGTTTAAAAATGTCCATTATTATTCTTGAAATTTGTATTTTAATTAGTGTTAAGGAATATACTTAATTCATATTTTTAGTATAAATTTGAATAATTTGGAATTAGTGTGTTTCATAATTCAACTTAACATGTGATCTTCCAATTTTATAAAATGTTTTTTCAGAAATTCTCCAAAATATATAATGTAAACTCTTGGGGCATGGATGAAATTGTAATGTTTGTTTGTCATTTACATCTAATTATCAGTCATTTGTTGTTTTTAACTATATTTTTGTGATGTTTAAGCATGGAATATAAAACTTTTATCTTTAATTTAATTAAAAAAATAGTGATTTTTAATTAAATAAGAAAAGAAAGTAAGAGAGTATGATATATACCGGGTGATTCAAAAGTCACAGAAATAAAAAAAATAATAACTTGCAAACTATTTACAGTAAGATGATGCTGTTTTCACAGAAATGCTTACAAAGAAGCAGGATTTTTTTGTGTAATAAAAATTTTAGTACCAAAATAGTTTACATTTCTTGCCATAGATGGCACTTGTTAAGATTACATAATTTGTGAAGTTGTTACTAGAGTTTACACTAAGAACATTTTTATTTTTTTATTCTTACTTTAACAAATTTACAAATTATTTCAGTTTCTTACAGCGCCATCTATGGCAAGAAATGTAACTATTTTGGTACTAAAATTTTTATTACACCTAAAAAAATCCCGCTTCTTTGTAAGCATTTCTGTGAAAACCACATCATCTTACTGTAAATATTGGGTTGAAAAATACCACTAGACGGATTAGTGGTATTTTTCCCGCCATTTTCATTCTAAACCATATTATCATTATATATTTTGACAGCTAGCATTTTATGGCTTATTTGTAAAAAATTTTGTTTGATTTCGTGCAATTGTTTATTTTTTGTGTCCCATCAAATATGGAAGATCGAAAGCAGCATCTTTGGCATATTTTGCTTTTTTATTACCAAAAAAATAAAAATGCCATCAAGCAAGAAAAAAATTGTGTGACATGTATGGTGGAGATGTGTTGACAGAACGACAGTGCCAAAACTGGTTTACAAAATTTTGTTCTCGCAATTTCAGTATTGAAGATGCACCACGTCATGGATGGCCAATTGAAGCCAATGAAAACAAAATAAAAGTACCGATTGAAGCAAACTGCGGAATAACAACACATGAAATCACTAAGATTAAATTTGTCAAATTGAACTGTTTATGAGTACTTGAAACAAATTGGTTTCGTTTCAAAGCTCGATATATGAATTCCATGAGTTCTTACAGAGAAATGTTCTATTTGGTGGGATATTAATAAGGAAATTTTTTTGGAGCTTTTACCAGACAATTTAACAATTGATTCAAAAGTGTACTGCATTCGAGTAAACAAATTGCGTAATATCATCAAACAGAAAAAGCCAGCTAGAATTGATAAAAAAAAAAAGCTGTAGTGTTTTGCCACAATAATGTCAAATTTCACAGAAGTTTGGTAACTCGTCAGAAACTGTTATTACTTAGATGGGACATGCTATCACACCAACCGTATTCGCCAGATCAGCACACTCAGATTATTACTTGTTCCGGTCTGTACAATTTTTTTTAACTGTAAGACATTTACTTGAAATGACAATGTCAAAAATCACTTGGATCAGTTTTTTGTAAGTAACGATCAAGACTTTTATGAATGTGAAATCATGCTACTACCAGAAACGATGACAACAGGTATTTGACCAAAATGGTCAACATATAATTCAATAAAATATTTATTTATCATAAGAATATTGTTTTTTCCACGGAAAAAACAAACTTACTTTCCGAACAACCCAATAGTT